ATCCCTCCAGGTGATCTAGGCAACTGCCCGCGACCAGAGCCGGTCGCCCTGCACCTCAGCGTCCCGGTGCAGTCGCCTTTGGCCCTTCCCTTGGGTGGAGGGTAGAGGGGTGCAGCGAGGAGGCATGGCGGTGGCAAGGAGAAAGAGGCACGCTGAGAGAAGGGGTGCGAAGATTCAGGAACTTAGAACTTATTGGGAAGGCCCGAAAAGGCACGATAACTAAATCAGTGTTGCTATAGAAACCTGTTTACTTCTCCTTTTCTATGAGCGTTTTGTCTCAGCGCAGCTCTCCTCTCCAAGAGGCTGAATCGGTTCTCTGCGGGTCGTACCCGCTTTTGGAGATAGGAAGTAGTCTGGAGAATGGGGAGTCCCTTTCCTAACCGTCTGGGGCCCTTTAGACCGGATGCCGCACGTAATTACCCCGCCCGACCACCGCCGGGCCCTGGGAGGCGACCTGTGCAGCGAGCAGGATGCGCATGGGCCCGCAGAGCAACTTTCCCTGGCTCCGCAGGGCTGAGGGTTTCCTAGGAAGCTGAGGGGGCTTAGCGGGGTGAACTTCAGTTTAGGGTTTGGCACCGGCTTCCAGGTTAATGTTCTGTTCGCTTATCCTGGTTTCCCAAGGGCGCTCAAGGGCCCCGAGCCTAGCCTTGTTTGTATTTGATCGCTCAGCCGCAGGTGCAGACAGTTCTAGGAGCTCTTGGTCAAGGCTTCCCACCATTCTTTAACATGAACTGTCTGGTTTACGCTCAGAGAAGCAGGAAAGGCAAGCGTTGCAGCCCTTCATCTGCAACAGAACCTGTTCACAATATTTTATTCTGAAATCTCCAGGCAAGCCTTGTTTCCTTTTGTCCCTCCTCCCAATACCCACCCCCCCACCGCCAAGCAATTGTGGGAGGAAACAGGAACTAAGATATCTATTAGAATTATGCTTCTTTCTTTTTTAAAAAAGAAATATATTTTATTGACTTTTTTACAGAGAGGAAGGGATAGGGATAGAGAGTTAGAAACATCGATGAGAGAGAAACATCGCCCAGCTGCCTCCTGCACACTCCCTACTGGGGATGTGCCCACAACCAAGGTACATGTCCTTGACCAGAATCGAACCTGGGACCCTTCAGTCCACAGGCCAACGCTCTATCCACTGAGCCAAACCGGTTAGGGCTGATTCCTCTTTCTTAAGGAGAAAAAGACTGATATTTGCCACTGGGCTCTTGCTCTTTAATAACCAACAGCAATATTCACTTGTATTGCAAATGAAACTGCTAGATTACTTTTAAGTTCCTCTAGTGCCGTGGGCTTCATACTTCCAGCGAGAGAGTATGAATTGGCTGCTTGGGGAAAGCGCATGACTTTGTGGTCCGCTGGACACATGGTCCCCCTTGCTGTACTCTAAATAGTGCCTTTTGTGACCTGGCACAGTCAACACTTCCCTTAAAGCGACAGTGTGATCCGTCAGTGCAGCGTGGCCTTGTATGGAATGTCACATACTGCATGCTCCATGAATAATGGCATCATGTATACATTCCATTTGTCTTCCAGGCAACTCCAGAGTTAAACCTCTCTATCCAGTTACCGTATAATCCAGATGAAAACCTGAAAGTGGAACATGGTAGGTAATTTCAGCCTTGTAAAGTAACCAGTTATGAGATGTTGCTCTTCATGTTTAATTTAGGCAATATATATATTTAGAGAGGGCTTAATAAAAATAAAAACCATCCACTATTTTGTGTCAGGCACTAAGAGAAAGATAAATAAGGAATTGGTGCCAATGTGCAATGTTTCCATTTTCCTCACTGATCCTGCTTCCAGTGTTGTCCCAGTTCTAAACTCTGACTTCTATTTTATCCTTTATGTATTAATTTGCTAGGGCTATGGAAACAAAGTACCACAAACTGGCTGGTTTAAACAACAGAAATGTATTGTCTCACAGTTTTAGAGGCTAGAAGTACAAGGTCAAGGTGTATGCAAGGCTATGCTCTCCCTGTAGGTGCTAGGGAAAGTTCTGAACGTTCCAGGCCTTTCCCCTGGCTTCTGATAGTTCCCTGGCTTGTAGCAGCACAGCTCCAAACTTTGCAGGGCATTTGCCCTTGTGTGCCTTTGTCCAAGCTTTCCCTTTTTATAAGGACACCGATCATATTCTAATCCAGTATGACCCTGTCTTGTAAATTTACAATGACTCTACTTCCAAAAAAGGTCACATTTGGAGTTATTTGCGGGGAGGGGGAGGTTAGACCTTAATATGAATTTTAGAGGGGACATAATTCAACTCATAACACTTTAGTTCAATGTTTCTCAAGATTGGCCCACTGACCATATTTGTCAAAATCATCTAGATGTTCTTTTTAGAAATGAAGGTCTCTAAGCTTCATCCTAAGACGAGTGGTTTTCATAGAGGGGGAGTGTTTTTTGCCCTTGGGGATATTTCACAATCTTTGGGGCAAAGGTGGTACTGGTATCTAGTAGATGTGTAATGCTGCTAAACTTCCTACAATGCACACGGCAGTCTGTCCAACAAAAGATGTTCCCACATAAAGTGGCAATAATGTCAAGATTGACAAACCCTAAATCTACATTTTGCCAAGCATCCCAACTTCTTAAAAAAAATTTTTTTAAATCCGCCGAAACCGGTTTGGCTCAGTGGATAGAGTGTCGGCCTGTGGACTGAAAGGTCCCAGGTTCGATTCCGGTCAAGGGCATGTACCTGGGTTGCGGGCACATCCCCAGTAGGAGATGTGCAGGAGGCAGCTGATCGGTGTATCTCTCACATCGATGTTTCTAACTCTCTATCTCTCTCCCTTCCTCTCTGTAAAAAATCAATAAAATATATTTAAAAAAATTTTTTTTAAATTCATTTTAGAGAAGGGAGAGAGAGAGAGAGAGAGATAGAAACATCAATGATGAGAGAGAATCATTGATCGGCTGCCTCCTGAACGCCCCACACGGGATCAAGCCCAAAACCTGGGCATGTGCCCTGACAGTTTCAAACCGTGACCTCCTGCTTCATAGGCTGACTCTCAGCCACTTAGCCAGACTGGCTGGGCACATCCCAACATTTTGTACCCACACTAAAGTTTGAAAAGTACTACACTCCTAAACAAGAAAATGCTAAGTGAGTTCACCACCACTAAATGTTGAAGGGACTTCTTGAAGAAGAAAAAAAAGATGAAAAACCTGAATAATAAAATGTATCAGGGATTGCTGTGAATGTAAATGGATTAAATGTTCCAATCAAAACATGTTGGGTGGCTGAATAGAGAAGGAAACAAAACTCACACATGCTGCCTATAAGACACACACATGGAAAGACACACTCATTGAAAGTATCAATGGCCCTAGCCGGTTTGGCTCAGTGAATAGAGCGTCGGCCAGCAGATTGAAGGGTCCTTCCTGGGATCAGTTCCAGTCAAGAGCACATGCCTGGGTTGTGGGTTCAGTCCCTATAGGGAGTACACTGTATGGGGGAATGTATTTGCTAATGATACACCTGACAAAGAGTTAATTTCCAAAATATATAAAGACTCATACAACTTAACAAAAGTAAGACAAACAATGCAATTAAAAAGTGGGCAAGGGGCCTAAATAGACACTGCTCCATAGAGGACAGACAGATGGCCAAGAGGCATATGAAAAAAATGCTCAAAGTCACTACCATCAGAGAGATACAAATTAAAACGACAATGAGGTATCATCTCACACCTGTCAGAATGGCTACCATCAAAAAATCAACAAACCACAAAAACTGGCAAGGATGTGGAAAAAAGGGAACCCTAGTATATTGCTGGTAGGAATGCAGATGGTACAGCCAGTATGGAAAGCAGTATGGAGTTTCCTCAAAAAATTAAAAATGGAACTGCATTTGACCCTACGATCCTGCTTCTAGGAATATATCCTAAGAATCCTGAAACACAATCAGAAAGAATATATGCACCCCAATGTTCATAGCAGCACTACTTAAATAGCTAAGATTTGGAAACAGCCCAAGTGCCCATCAGTAGATGAGTAGATAAAAAAGCTGTGGTACATTTTACACAATGGAATATTATACAGCTATAAAATTCCATTTCTCTTACCCTTTATAATAGCATGGAGGGACCCAGAGAGTATTAATCAAAGCAAAATAAGCCAGTCAAAAAAAAGATAAGTATCATATGATCTCACTCATATGTGAAATCTAATGAACAAAATAATAATAAAAAAAATTCAGAGACATAGAAGCATGGAACAGACTGATGAATCTCAGAGAGAAGGCCAGTGGGTGGAGGGGGTGAGGTGGGAAGAGATTAACCAAAGAGCTTATATGCATATATGCATAACCCATGGACACAGACAATAGTGTGGGGAAGATATTCGTCACCTCTCTTATTTATTAGCCTTTCTAATTATGATAAGTTAATCTAGTTAAATATTGCTGCTTAGCCATTCACACGATGTACAAGTCTTACTCTAACGTTGGTATTAAATTGGTAGCTCATTTACATTTTAAAACTGATGCCACATTACATTATTTTTTATCAACTGTCTACATTTTCTGCCATTTGCCTATTGAAAACTAGCCAGTCTGTGGCTTGACAAAGCAGTGCTTTGCCTCCTCCAATCCACTAGTTCTTATTTTCTGAGCGACTGATTTGTCTATTTCATCTATTGCTTTCATACCTTGCAGTCACTGCAGCTATTCTCTCAGTTTTTTTTCTCCTCTTTTGGCATTTGGAAATATTTTTAGGTTACATTAGTGTAGTCTTAAGAGCAGAAACAAGAAAATGGTAGTGTCATAAAGGGCACAAGAACCCAGGGGAAAATCTTAAAACGTCCATGAAAATGGGTCACTGGAAATTGGTAGGTATTGCAATGTATAACAGATTGAGAAATTGATGCCTCTAAAAAATTGTTTCCCTTTTAGAGAGAATCTCCCATTTTCCTGGTAAGACTTCAATACAGATTTTGCATCAGAACAGGCAAATTGTTCAGATAGTACTTTTTTTTTTAATCCAGAGATTATAAAATCAGAATTCTTTTTTTTTATCCTGCATTATCCTTACTGGCTATTACATTAGCCCAGCTGACTATTCTTCTAATGACCTTTTGCTCGTTTTCTAAAGTCAACTTTTCAA